AAATTAATTCTTGGTAGAAGAAGTAATTTCATCTGAGAGCTAACTGCCGTATTTCCTTGAATACAACAAACATTTTTGTTCAAAAATTAGTCTTTCAAAATTGGAGCGTCTGTGTTAAGCCGATTTTCCACTCAGAACAGAAGTATAGAGATGCCATAAAATGGATGCTGTTTCTTTTCCTTCTCTTCCCTCCAGCTCTTGCATAAAGACAGGGCAGAGTGCAGCAGGAGCAAACTAAAGGGAGAAAGGTGCAGTCACATCCTGCTTTAATTCCTACTCAGCCCAAAATTTAAAACCAACTACACGAAGCAGCAGTGGCATTTCTATTCAGGCAGTTCCGATGGAGTAAAATGGTTCACTGCAATCTACCTGATCCTGCTAACTGCTCTTCATTCCACAGGTGTTAACAACCCTCTCGTTTTGTAATGGTCTTGATAGTCCACTAAAACTATTCTTTGTCCAATTTTGTTGTTAGTTAGTCCTGGACCCTTTTTTTCCTCTGATTTTGCAGCCAAGCAGGAGGTTTTTAACTCTTTTCAAAATCCTAAATCTCCCCAGTCTTTAGCAATAGCTACAGTTTCAGCTTTTGGCCAAACAGCCAAGAGGTGCTGTTAATTCAACTGTGAAAGGGTTAAAACTGTAGCTTCTTCCTGAGTAGGGAAGGGAGGATAAGTGAACTAAAAACTAATTTCTATCTCTACTCTATGCAGCTTTAAATCCGCATACATTTTTTTTCTCATTCTGCCTTCCCAAAAACAGGTGCATTTCTTATTTGGGGTCTGTGTGGTATGCAAGAAAATATGGTATGGTGTGGTAGTAACCGTACGATTATATCTATGGGTATGTGTAGATGAAACAGGAGCCCTAAATTGAAGCAGTGGATTTTTAAAAACACCACTTCAATTTAGGGCCGATTAAACCGCCATGTCATGCACACATCCTGCTGACTTACCAGCGGCAGGGAGGGGAGGGTGAGCTGCCAGTGGGCAGAGTGGTCCCTGGGCCGCAGCAGTGCTGGTGCTTCCCTCCACACTGGTGGCAACCCCTCCCCCAGACAGCACCCAGCCGCAGGCACCCAGCTCGGGTGGGCCCGGGAAGTATCACAACCAAGGAGGGAAGCACAGGGAGCCCACACAGCTTACGCAGACAGGCAGGCTCCAAGGGCTTCCTACAGAGCTGTACAAAGCCCGGTGCTTTGCTCAACGGCTGTAGGTGCAGCAAACTGAAACTCCTCCAAGGAATTTTAGTTTGCTGTGCCCTCAAGTCATTTAAGGTGAATTACGCCACCGAATTTCCTACAGCAACTGGAATTAATGCGTAATACGCCTCTGAGGCATGCAAACACCAACACCATTAAAGTGGTACAAAAGCATTTAGCCCACTTTAAAAAGTGTTGTGCACACACACCCGTCGTTTAATCTACACATGGGCTATGCTCCCAATTATTTTGGTGGTCCTCCAGCTGTCTTCCCTGACCAGACAGTCCATTTATCCATGACCTCTACTGCTCTAGGGTCATGGGACCAGACTTCACTGTAATATTTAAATATTGCTGCACAACCAGGAACTGTCCCTTTATGCTCACATACTGCAAGAGGCAGCACAAATAGCATTTTGCTTTAGTCCTGTGCTGTGTGGCTTCATTGTGCTTTCCAGTGGAGCCAAGCTGAAGTCAATGGATTCTTCACTCTCTTGCAAAGGCTGGAGCAAAACTAAAGGAACTATCAGAACTCAGGGCTGACTATAACAGACATATTTCAGGGAATTGGTGTGATGGCAGATAAAAGTCACAACCAAGATGCTATGCAGAGCTCTCTATATATGCAAAGAACGTTGAGAAGACTTCAAGGAAAACAAAAGGTGCAAAAAAATCATGTGAACAGCACTGCATATTTCTATTATATGGGAGCAGGACAGGATTTCTGCATGCAACACCAACATCTGCCTGCGCTTCACCTAAAACATAGTGAACCGATAAGGGCAGCACAATCAGCAATGGCTCAAAAAACATATGCATGATAGCTCTAAGCTCTAAGCTTGAGCAAGACCCTATAGAGGCAGACCTCGATACCCAGGCCCTGTTGCCAGAAAGAGAAGTTGGCTGAAAACACTCAGGTTGCCTGCTGCACTATAGATGAAACTGTACTGCACTGTAGATGAAGTTCCACTTCATTGCCTTTTCCCACCCCCCACGGTTATTGTTATCATTATCGTGTGCTGTGAGTGAGAATAGGGATTCAATTCACTGGTCTGGATGCGCCCTTTAGGTCATCAGATGTATACAAAGGAGGCAGAAAGCAGCACAACTGCTTTTTGACTAAAGCAAGCACATTGCAGTTTGAATACTTAAAGAAACTGCTTGTTATGGATAAAGTGGTTTGAGTTGGATTTCTCTCAAGACTTCACTATAAGGTCAGAATTATAGTCATTTCATTACTTGAACTACCAGTTCCTATACATTAAAAGGTTTCAGTTTCTTACAAATTCAGCTTTAAGTCTGAACTCACAGTTTCTACAGTTTAAAGAGTTTCAAAAGCTATTACTCTTGCAAGTTAAAAAAAACAACCAAAAAACTTAGCACTAATCAATCTGCAACCTCAGCTTTACCATGGGACTAAGGAAGAAGGTAGGGCCAAGTGGCACCTTAAGGCATTTATAGTTGTGCTCTGGGAGTGGGGAGGGGAGCACTTTAATTAGAGCACCTCCAAGAGCTTTAGATAAAGTGCCTCCACTGCCATTTTGAAGCACAGGGATGTTGATACACAAGATGCGGGAGGCTGCTGAAGCACTGTAATTGCCACACTCCAGCAGACTTGATTAAGTGCATCAGAACAGCTTCCCTGCTCATGTATAGGGACCCTTAGAAGTTAAAGGAATTAAACTAAAATCTCTTATTTAAACTCGTCCCATAAAGGAAAGGGAACGAGGTTTGGAGCTCTCCTCCTTAGGTAGGAAGGGAACCTCATTCATGCACATAAGATCACAAGGAGGGCAGCCCATCACCTGTAGATGGTGGGATGTAAACAGGAAGGCTCCAAACTACATTCAGCAAGCCTTGAGAGTTAAACATGGCCCCAACCTACCCACAAGGCTTAAGAGGGTCACTGCCCATCTTCACCAAACCCCTACCCCATTTGCCACTTGAACCTTCCAAGGAGACGGTGGGTAGCTGATGCCAGTTCAAATATCAAAAGCCAAGCTCGATTCATTGTGCTCTCAGAAGACACAGGAGCCTTTCTCAATGAACTATTAGGTTCAGAGGTTCATGAAAGGGTCACCTGGGTGCTTCAACAACTCTAAAGCTCAGGAAAACCCACAAATCAGTATATGGCTTGCAAAGGCTGCAGGTCCCAACAAACATTTTAGTAGCTGGTACACACAAAGCTTTTTAGATACAAGTGGAATTGCCAATTTTTTGCAACCTTCCTGTGCTCCACTTGTACACCATCTGCCCTCTCCATCCCTCCAAGTCTCCCCCTTCTTACATATTTACAGAGTGCGTTCAAGGAACGAGATTCGGGGGAGAAAGGGAGGTGGAGACAGATGCACGCACACCAAAAACTGAGGTTTATATTGGAAAAGAGACAATCCACCTTACATTTTGATTAAAAGAAATTTAAAAATGTCCATCAAAAACCCTCCTGTATGACTGGTTGACAGTGAGAATGGTGTTCTTTACCAGGAAACAGCTTCAAAACCTTCAGTCTCAAACAGCCAGATTCCCCGCATTAATTCTGTCTGAGCAGCTGATCTTTACAGATGTTCTTATTTTTAAAAAACTGATCTAACCAAATAATTCTCACAACTGTACACTAAGTCTTGTAGGAAAGTGCAGTTAAGCCTAATTCTTTTCTTATAAGGAGCAAAGAGTGTTAGGCATTCACACAAGTACACAATTCATGAAAAAATGTCCAAATCATATATGTTTGTATATAAGGTGACTCCAGATCTAGCTTATAGTTATGAGGCCATTCCTTTACTTGTGAATTGAGAACTGGGAAGGCTGGAGAGTGGGGGTGCTGGAATCATGCTCAAACTTAGCTGCAATCTAAGCCAAGAAGTGGCTGTATCAGTCTATAATTCAGCCAATTTGTTTGGTTTTGCTAGAAGACAAAGAATAATTTTGTGATTCAATATAAAGCAGTGCTTCCTATAGGTTGTTTCCTTATATCATGCACAATACTTTCCTAAGCTCCATTTGGACTTTTACAGAACTCAGCTGCATGCCATGTTTGGGTTACTGGCATAAGGTGACAACAATCCTGCAGTAGCTACATGGACACAATTTGAGTGAAGCTTTGCTCCTACCTGCTCAATGGCATTTTTTTTCAATTTACAGTAACTTCATTATTTAGCAGTCTCACAAGCAGAGAGGAGAAATGACATAACAGCAACAGAAAACTCCCATACTATGAGCTACTTTCCCTGCTTGTATGTCCTACCCCAGCTCTAATCTATGGGCCCCACTATTGAAAACCTAGGTCTACACTAAGACCACTTTGTTGGTCTAGAAACACCAGCATGGGATACCTGCAAAATGGACAAAAACCAGCAAAGTTGCACTGTGTATCACTGTAACAAATATATCCCACACCCTGCCAAGGGAAACAATCTATACCAGGAAAAAGTACAGGTTTTCTGGTAAAACTGCAACTATTTTGAGAGCTTCTACCAACACAGCTGTTACGCAGCATTCAAACCTCTTCACACCCCTGCCCAGCACAGAGCTGTACTGTCAGAAATCTACACCTTAGACAAAGCCTGAAGTAGTGAATTAGGAATTTACCCTCTGTTGATGCAGCAGCTTTGATGTGGACAGTCAACTGCTAAGGACTGCACTGACACCCCTTGTTACAGTCTGCTGAACCAGCAACAGATGTTAACAGCTTTCAGCCACTCCTACATTAAGCTGGATTTACGTAAGTGAGTAATCACTCAGTGCTGAACCCCATTCTGAAAAGCCACCCAACCCAAGAGGGAAAATTTTGCACCCCACCTACCTGTCCACTGTGGAGGGCAGCGGCAGTTGTAAGTGTTTACACCATCCACGCATACACCACCATTCTGGCATTTGTGGTTTGGGCAGTCATCAATGTTGTGCTCACAGGTATCTCCTTCAAAGCCTAGGCAAATAAAAAATGTATGAAATGGAAATTATTTTCAAAAGGGCCATTAAAGAGAATTACCCTAGTTAACCTAGTTCCCTGCAGAACACCAGAGCAGCAGCTGGACACAAGAACCAATCGTAACAGCCTTCTGCCTCTACCCAAGTCAAAGGAAAGGTTGGCTTATACCAGCAAAGCACTAGTCCTCCAGTCAGGCAATGGCACAGAGCTTTGCTTTAGTATTAAAAAGCTTTATTTTGCAAAGCCAAGGCCAGGAATTCTCATTTAACCACAAGAACAGCCTTTGGCAGGAGACTAGGGTTGACCTTGGCAAGTTTGCCTGAAGTGCCTGGACTTTAGCATGTGTTTACCTCCGAATTGCTCACCCCCTTGAGTTCACATGAAGGTAAAAAGACACACCTCTTCTCACTGAACACAAGCCTTCAAATCTCTTTGTTGGTTCCACCGCTCCCCAGTGTGGGAAAGAGCTAAGCCAAGCCAACATCACATAGCCCAGGGCTGTGACCCAACTTCTTACTTTGTACTCTTGATGCACCTTCTGGTGGCCTGAATGCGCTAATCTGGTGCAGCAGTGACCCTGCCCACATAATACCTGGTCCCCTATTTTGTGGATTTTAGCTATCATCACCCAACCCAACCTATAAATTAAACCCTGATGGAAGAAAAAAAAGAATTCAGCAAAAATCCTGACAGCCTCTTTATATGCATATATTATAATTTTCAACCATCCTGTCAAACAAACCTTCTATCGGTTTCCACATTTATATGGACAGCAGGTGGTCTCTGCAGATAGTAATACTAATAAGCATTTCATGGGATCAAATGCCTGGTTCTCTTCAGTTTTCTTAGCTTTTATTCTTTTCCATCTATTTGTTCATTTTATGCTCCCGAAAATAACCCTCCAGGCAGAGTCAGATAAAGTATTTACTTCTTATACTAGAGATGGCAAAGATTCAAAGGGGTGGGAGTAACTGATTCCAAAATTCTTACAAAAGAACTCTTTTGGGTTCTCTGGAATCTTTGACTAGTTATGGTGCAGTCTCCTCATCCAAAACATGCACACTTTTCCCTCAGCCCTCCATGTTCGGCTCTGGACAGCACAACAGTATTTGTCAATCAGGTCAAAACCAGCTTTTAGAGGGTGCATCATCCAAGGCAGACATTGCAGAGCCTGTAAATGAGTTCCATAAGCTCACCAGCTCTGCAGCAGCTCTTGCTGAGTTTAGCTGCTTTAAAGAGACTGTGAGGAGACCTGCAGCAAGAGTGACTTTTCTCTTGCATCTCTTAGCTGCATCCCGACAAGCGCGGCTGTGTGCTATGTGGCACCGCAGACATGTCTGCAGCATACACACTGCACGTTCAGCTGTTCTCTGCATTGCAAGAGGGCAGCGCACAAGTTTTTTCTTGACCCCTGGATATCCAGGGGCCAAAAAACCCCAAAACAAAACAAAAAACCCAAACAAAAAACAAACAAACAAACAAACACTCCCCACACGCGGGCACAGCATGCACAGCTCAAAACCAGAGCCTGGCTGGCTGGAGCCACCAGCTCCAAAACCCTAAAAACTTGTCAGCTAGTTCTGTCAGCTTTGGAGATGCCAACACTCGACTAATTCTCTAGTATGCGAGTTCCAGACAACTATGTATTTAGCTGTTCATCTCTGCTGCATATGGAATTCCACGTGGTTTGATGTTGCACGGGTAAAATTGGAGTGCTGACCTCAGACTGAGATGGAAAGCTAGTTAAATCGGAGGGATTTTACACTTCTAATTGCTACATTCCCATTTACTGTTTAGTCCTCAAGCACATAACATAACAGTGGCAAGTCATTACTTCCATTATACAAATGGGTAAAATGTATCTACTGGTAACACTATTGCATACAGGACCTTTAGCAGATGAGCGCTCCAGTAGATGAGTGACCTATCTAGCATGGAAGTTGGCAACCAATGTGCCAGATTCAGACTGCAGAGCACTTTGATCTGGACTGCAAATGTGTGGCTCTGGCAGCCTTAGTGGTAGTTGCTCTCTCCATGCTGCCATGAGGAAAAGCAGCAGGAGTGGCCAAATCTTAGCACCATTCACCTGCCTCTAACCCAAGCTGGGTTGTTCTGGCCCACAACCTGGAAAGGGTGCCAACTGCTGATCTAGCAAATAAGCAACAGCAGGTTCCACTGTCCTGGAAGTAAACTAGGGTACAATGAAGGCCTAGTATCACCTAGCTTCAGATACTAGGCCTTTGTTGGAAGGAACCCACCTCTGGTACACCAGGAGTCATCAGGTACCTCCTTTCCTCCCTGCCATGGGGTCTTGGGCAATGAAACTGCAGGAAGGGGCCAACAAGCTGCCTGCCAGCCAGCCCCTCCGCAGCATGCTGAATTGGGGAACAGCAGCTTCGGGCTGGCAGGCTGACCCCCCTCCAGGACCTGTGCCAGCTGGGGCTGCGCTGCCTCGGTTCAACATGCTGCAGGGTCCTGGACAAACATGTAAATGCTGTGCTTGGGTGCAATAAATTCCAGCACGAACTGCACCGGAGTTTATTCAGGTGCACTAATTTAATGTGTAGATGCAACTATTGTGTAGCAGAAGCCACCTGTATGTTACATATGCTTAACTTAGACCTTCTTCTGCTGCTCCAAAACTTCCCTCCGTCATTTCCCTTCTGTCTCTTAATATATCTCCTTTTTAGATCCACCCCCTTCCTAAACCCAAAGCTCAAAGAAGTTGAAGAAAAATGGGGAACTAATGTGTCATTTGTTTAGCATATTGAAAGTTTTGTTGGACTGATGGCTCTACCGGTCAACTCCTATACCCCTGTCAAGGGCCACATGGGTAGCCTCGCCCCTTTACAGAAACCCTGCCCCTCAGGTCGCCATCTTGTGAGCGGAAGTCCTGCCCTCTAACCCCTGACCTTTTCCACCAGAAGTCCCTCCGTTCACCCACATAAGTATTCCTTTCAGCAAGGAGTTTTGCCAACTCAGAACCAGAAAAATACCAAATTATATTCTAAAAAACAAACATCTACAAACATTCATTAATTTTATTTTAAAAAAATATTTTTGCCCTGATTTACACGCGTTTGTGTAGTGTCCATAGAGGTGATTGCACAATAGTTTAAAATGAAGTCTTACTCTTGCATATTGTGGGGGGGTGCGTATACATTTGTGGCGGGCTGTGGATGTGTGGGAGTGGGGGGTGTGAGGTGAGGGAGCATGCGGATGTGTATATGGATATGTGGGGTGTGGGGAAAGGGTGGCTGGGGTGTGAGGGAGGTGTGGGGGTCTGCGTCCATGGTAGTGTCGGGGAGGGGGGTGCATGTGTATGGTGGGACGTGCATGTGGGACTCATCACACACACACACACACACACACACACGAACACACACACACAACCACCCACCCCCTGGGGTACCAGCACGTCCACGTGCTCCCCAGTCAGGTGATACAGCCAGGAGCCACATGGTGCTAGAGCAGTGTGAGGGCAGGAAGACAGGGAAATGGCTGGGACTGAGGCGGGGCTGGGCTGCTAGGTCTTGCTGGCATCCCCTGGGTCCTGCTTTGATTTGGTCCATCTTTGACAGGCAGCCAGGAGCAGGTAAATATTAATTTCCTAATTTATTTTAGGGGCCCCATGGGCTGAATAGAATGGCTTGGCGGGCCACATCCAGCCCATGGGCCGTATTTTGCCCACCCCTGCATTAAGGGCAGGGAGAGAAACAAGGGGGAGAGAAAAAAAAAAAAAATCAGCAAGTCCTGGCTCCCTTCATTTAGAAGAAGCCTGACCACTGAAGATAGCATGACCGCTTCTAGGGAAACTCCATACAAATTAGAGAAGTGCATGAAGCCTACATGAAGCAAAAACGCTGCGTGCTCTTCAGAAAATTTGTGCCAGGATAAAAAAAGTCTTCAAAAGTAGTGCATGAAAACCTAAATATACTGAAAGGATGCATCTGCCATTGCATATTTCCTGCAGCATTAGGAACAAATAAAGTTGTACATGTAACATGCCTGGAAATGACTTTGTATAACTGCCATCCTCATCCCAACAAAAGCCTAATTCAAAAAGTAGTATGTTTTACCAAAGACAACAGACCAAAATGGATCTGAAATGCCAAAGATGACAAGAGTTTTGAGTTATAAATCCAAAAACCACCAAAGTCACCAATTGGGGGCCGAGGCAGGGGCGGTGTACTTCCAGATCTCGCAAACACTGCACCCAATTTGCCCCCATTTTAAGAGAAACTCCTTTCAGCCCTCATCAAATACATCGGAAACTTTTGAGGTATGATTTAACGTCTACTTCAAGCTCTGTACATTCTGTAACACTGAGACTGCTACCTTTGTAGTAAGATTCATCTATTGCTGCACAACTGTTTACAGAAGTTTAGCTTTCATTTTTAAAGGTTAGATTTTTAGCACTTCTGAAATTCTCAAAGCATAGACGCCAACACATTTAGGTTTGCCTGAGCCTGAAAGTGTTCTATAATGTACATCAAACCCTGATTGAGACGAATGGTGACAACGAAAGTCCCAACTTCATGAATAATCACTGTAGAAGAGACTTCATTATTCAAATCTACAAACATTTAGTGCAAGCCATCAAGTGCTTCTCTGCAAGTATGAAGGCTATTTCTGAGTAGCAAAATTCAGGTTGCTCCAAAACTGAAGAGATACTGCAGTTAAGTCAGAGGTCCAGATTTCAACCTTAGGGAGTTCAAGGTCTTCAGTGATACAGGAAGAATCCTGCACCATCCATCCCAAAAGAAAAATTGGATTCAATGTGCATTTGTGACACTCAGCTCAAAGGAAAGGACTGTTTGCCACCGTGGTTTTGTGAACCAGCATCAAGTACTACTGAATACATGAAGTTACTTCCTCTTTCCAGGAAGTGTTCCAGTTCCCATAAACAACCTACTCTGGTCTGACAGATTGTTTCCTGACCCAGCTCTTGGAATTCCCTAGGGTTCTTATCTTAGTTAATGGATAATTATTTTGAT